TGGACATCATGCCTAAGAAGCAGAGATGAGACTGAGCTGTGGGGTTTGAAATGGCTCTGCTCTTCCTCCAGCCACATTGCTCATTCATAAACCTCCATGTGGATGTCAGAGACAAGATATTTACGCAACTATGCACTCGAACACTGTGATCCGTGCATGGAGGCAGAGCGCAGAGAAGTAGGGAAGACTACAGATTAGAGACCTGAGCAGGTAATGGGGAGCAGGGGGCAGAGTGCAAGCACTTCTCTGAGGAGTGACACTTGTGTGGGAACAGAGGTCAACTCCGAAGGGAGGGTGAAGACGTCCGCAGGCTGAGGGTGCACAGGGGCAAAGGCCATGAGGTGGTGTGCCGACATCACTGGTGGGGCCGGGGGCAGGGAGCAATGGGCAGAGCATGGAGAGTTTCAGGGCAGTGAGTTATCCTGCGTGACCCTGTGATGGGGAATGCATGACATTATGCACTTGTCAAAACCCACAGGATCTGTAACACAAGGAGTGGGCCCTGATGTGAACTATGTACTTTTGTTAACAATAACGTTCTCACTATTGCTTCATCCCTGTAACAAATGCACCCCGCTAACGCAAGATGATAGGGGAACTGTGAGCAGAGGGGGCTGATGGGAACTCTGCCTACTTTTCTTGATTTTCTCTGAACCTAAAACTGCTCTAAAAATAAAGTCTGTTAATTAAAAAAGTGTCTTTTAATGACGTTTCAGCTTCTCGTCCCTTAAAAGGCACTGTCTGCGCTGTGGTGGTAGGGTGGACGCCTCTCCAGCTGTGGGGAAGGGGCAGCACAGAGAGGTGTGCAGCCACTCCTCGCAGCCGTTACAACCTCACTCTGCTTTCTTTCCCCAAAACACAGTTTTTTGTTTTTAAGTCATGAACCACCTTAATTTCTTTGTATAGGTTTTTCCCCTAAATTGATTTACATCGCATAGCTGTGCCACATGAACTTGAGTTTGGTTTCTCCCTACCACCCTCCCTGATAGAAATCATTCTCTTGGAATATGCAGATGCTAAATATAGTACAAATCATCATCCACAGATGCCAAACGTAACATACTTAAACGAATTCTGAAAGCAGGCGGTAACAAAGCCTCCTTCACAGTGAAAGGAGTTGATGAGAGGGAGCATTGCAGAGACTCTGATTGCCTTAGAATTTCTTTGGCTTCAGCGGCAGAGGAAGAGGAAAGCAGTGGGGACTTTTCATTTTGGCTGATTCCTGTGGGTACAGGTTGTCTCCCCTGGGGTTCCCATCAGAAAGCACAGCATGTCAGAGCCATTCCAGGGCATCTGGGGCCTCCAGGCACTGGGTGGCAGCCCAGGAGAGCACACCTGGCCCAGATGGCACCGTCTCTATCTGGGCTAAAAGTGTCCCTAACATGTGACCTAAGACTGTGACTCCTTTGTTCCTTATCAAAGAGGGATCCATGTGTCATTGGGTTACCTTATATTCCATGTGTTACAGTTAATTCCTATCTTTTAATTGAAGACTTTTCCCCTCTGCTTGTGGTCTGCTTAACGGGATGGTAGTGGTCAGCTGAGTACATTACTGTTTGGTGCCCCAGCCAACTTTGGGAAAGAATGATGAAGGAAATAAGAACGGTTTCTCAACTCATGGACATTAACGCCTTAAGAGAAGATTCTTCAACTTGGATCGTATAATGCAAAGGGAACAGCACATATACATGTAAAGTTTTATTATCCCCGGGAGAGGATGGTTATTATTAAATCCACTGATTTAAATGGTGCAGTAGTAAGCTTTCTTTTCTAGCCTTGCTATATATGTATTCATTGCCTTCCTCATTATTTCACGATTCAACAGACTTGAAATTTTAAACCTGGGAATAAACTAGTTTGTAGACTTGAGAAGTCACAGACAGGCCTTAGCCTACAATCAATCAACATTTTTTTCTTTTGTTCCAAAAAAGATTTTTAGCTGTATGTGACTGGCCATTTTGTTTACAAGTATGCAACTTAACTTTGTACAGTTAAAGAACAGTATTGTGCTTTTCTCCTATATCCTCAAATCTGTGACATCTTTAAAAAATAAACAACAAAAGGAATTTTTGTTCATTGCTCATATTTCTCCAATCATAACATATGCTAACCTGTGTGTGATTTGACACAGGCAGGCATACAGCCTGACGTTAAAGAATTTCCCTAAAGATCTATGCCATTCCTGTACACTGGAGGCACATGAACTACTCACTGCCTTCCATCTACCCTCATGAATCATTGCACAGGTTCCTGCTGTCTTCCTGGTTCGAGCTAAGATAACTCCTTTAAGTCAAAGGCAACTCTACACAGTAAACATGGAATGAAAATCAGTCACAGTGTGCTTTTCCAATCATGGTAATTGTTTAACAGATTAATAACCTCAACAAGGTATGAAACTAATTTAGTGAAAGGTTGCAAAGATGTTGCTTGGCACCTATGCTTATGGACAGGTAACATCAGGAGATTACTTTCCCAAAATATACACAGAGACCTAATGAAGGGCTGAGAAATCACTGTTACTTTGCTTGTCTTATACATGCTCTTTGCAAAGGACTAAGACATGACTATGACTGACAGAAAAGAGCGAGTGCACCCTAGATTTTGCTTTTATAAAAAGACCAAAGACTAAAGTATCTGAATGCTGTTTACATCTACAAATCCTTAAATCCAGTAACTATGCCAAGTTTTATGCTAAGATATCTTAGTGTGGATCTCACAAAACACACACCAATTTAACTGGGTCACAAAACAACTGAACACAGAAAGAACATAAACATATTTTCTTTTAGAAGATTCAGGGAGCAGGTGCCAAAGCTAGTTTATAAAGTGGATAGCTTAATTGCTGTTAATGCTGAACATAAACTATAGCTAATTGCAGCTAAAATTTCTGGCACACAGACCCAAAATGATGAGATGCCTCTGTACACTGACTAAACACAAGGTTAACCTTTGGTACCTCATCTTTTGTTACTCTGTCCAGGTACTTAAAAAATCTATCAACAAACACCGCATACAGGAAATTAAATATCCCGCAGGAAAGAACAGAGAAAGGAGCATACAGAAAGGTCTACACTGCATTTACCAGGAGAATAGGTTACCTCTTCAACACAAAGACAGGCCTTTGTGCTGGCATATTCTCATACTGTGACTGCCCACAAGGTTGAAAAGCCACAAGAGAAATGGTCGCCCCAGTGAACGTGCAGCTGTAAAATCTCAAAATGAGAAGACCTGTATATTTACTTTTATTCTACTCCACACAAATTGAATTCAAAACACAAGTGCATTGATTCAATATAGACTATTTGGAATAAAACCAATGTGACATACAAATATGTTCATATGTTTAATTGAAGGTGTTCCCTTTGGAAAATGAATTAATATTTTATCTAATGATAGCTTTATTCCACAGACCATGACTCCATGGGTTAGAGGATATCAGAAAAATTCTTTCATAGTTTCCTCTTGGAAGTTACAAAGCACAGAAGCATGTTAGAGGTGCGAGGTAGTTTTGCAGCAAAAAAACCCATTTACCTGAGTGAATGTTTCCCATACTTACTTACCTACAGACCTTCTACTGCCCCTCAAGTAACACCTCAAAATTACCCATGGAATTTGCATTTCCTGTAATCCATCTAGGAAAATACTGGTTTGGAATAGTAATTTTGCACATAATATCTGAAACTATGGTTTAGTTTAATATTTCCACAGCCAGAGCATTTCAATAATATCTTTTGAAATTAAAAACTTTCATCTGATTTTTGTTCTGGTAACTATTTAATAACCTCAGGCTGAAATCATGTGTGTTTTGATGTGAGGTAAGCCTCCTTGCCAATTTAGAATTCAGTGCCAATACTGGATGGTCACTCAAAAGAAAACCTGAATGCTAGTTAATCTGGTCTGTTTGCTCAAAAGTCAAAAATATTTATGAACTATCTACTCTTGTTAGAGACAGTAAAATACTATGATAAACTAATTTCCTCATTAATCTCTAATGCTAGGTTATTTTAAAATAAACCTGATGTAACTGATGTTTACCCTTTCTCTTCAATCACCTCTGTATTGATGTTTTTGTTTTTTTTTTACAATATATCCTATCCTATCTTTATGCCTCCTTTTATTCCGGTCAGAGAAAATCGCCTGGTAGTGCTCTTACACGGAATTGCCCGGAACCTGCTCTTGGCTACTCCAAAAGCTAGACATTTTAAACAATGACTTCTGAAGACAATACTTATCCCAGAAGCAAGCATTTCTAACAGTAGAAACAGGGCAAGTAACACAGAAAGACATGTTTTGAGTGAAAGAGCGATCACAGAGTTTTCAAATACCTCTAGATAAATGTTATTCTACTTAACATGTGGTACGATGAGATTGCCCATCTTTTCCTGTCTACTCTGATGTGATTTTTCCATCCTTCACCTAGAAAAACTTCAAAAGGAAAACTCTATTTTTTATGAAAACTCCCTATGTATTTCAGTTAACATAGATTACTTGCTTCTAATGGTTACCATCTTCAATTATTTATGCTACAAAATGTGCCATTTTGTTACTGTGCTTTCTCTCAGATGGGTTCATGTTGTATTCTTAAAAAGAATAAAGTTTTTTTGAAGGCAAAGGCCCTGTACCTTTTATTTCTGCTGGATTTATAGCACAGTAGAAGGAACATATTGAGTGTCTAATAAATATCTGATTAATGGCTTAGAGCAAAAGGAAAGAGTATTGATAAAAAAGTGTCAATATGCTTAGAAAAATATTTATCAAAATTTGAGTAGATGGGGGAGGGTCCAGCTGTACTGAGTACAGGCACCTAGAATTCTCTGCATAGATATATTTGTATTACTGGACACTAGGATGAAACCACACAACTAACAATTATGAATACCCTGCCAGTGCACTCAAAATATACTTAAATTGTATGCAGAGTAAACAAGATTTTTGTATGTAAAATGGGATTACAATACGACCTCATTGGGTTATTTTGTGGACAAAATGAAATGACATGTGTAAGATGCTGAGAACAGAGCTTCAAACATTCATACTGTAAACATGGATTCACTCACCCCACTCTCTCTCTTCATCAGATCCTCCAATTTAATTTGAATTGGTACGATGAGATTGCCCATCTTTTCCTGTCTACTCTGATGTGATTTTTCCATCCTTCACCTAGAAAAACTTCAAAAGGAAAACTCTATTTTTTATGAAAACTCCCTATGTATTTCAGTTAACATAGATTACTTGCTTCTAATGGTTACCATCTTCAATTATTTATGCTACAAAATGTGCCATTTTGTTACTGTGCTTTCTCTCAGATGGGTTCATGTTGTATTCTTAAAAAGAATAAAGTTTTTTTGAAGGCAAAGGCCCTGTACCTTTTATTTCTGCTGGATTTATAGCACAGTAGAAGGAACATATTGAGTGTCTAATAAATATCTGATTAATGGCTTAGAGCAAAAGGAAAGAGTATTGATAAAAAAGTGTCAATATGCTTAGAAAAATATTTATCAAAATTTGAGTAGATGGGGGAGGGTCCAGCTGTACTGAGTACAGGCACCTAGAATTCTCTGCATAGATATATTTGTATTACTGGACACTAGGATGAAACCACACAACTAACAATTATGAATACCCTGCCAGTGCACTCAAAATATACTTAAAGTGTATGCAGAGTAAACAAGATTTTTGTATGTAAAATGGGATTACAATACGACCTCATTGGGTTATTTTGTGGACAAAATGAAATGACATGTGTAAGATGCTGAGAACAGAGCTTCAAACATTCATACTGTAAACATGGATTCACTCACCCCACTCTCTCTCTTCATCAGATCCTCCAATTTAATTTGAATGCAAGTTTTCTTTCCACTCTTCTGATTTCTATTTTATAAAAGCCTAGTCACCCTGTCCCAGTAATTTTTAAAGGAAGAGAAATGTGAATACACCTCATAAGACCAATATGCAATATTTAGCAGGAAGGGAGAAAAAGAAACTGTTTTAATTTAAGCATTTTTATGTTAAACCTTCATAAAGCATTCTGATATCTTAAGAAGAATCATATTTCCATTTGCTAAATAGAAGCTTCAGTAAACTATTTTTTTTAATGTTCCCTTATTCTGAAAAAGTCCTTCCCTATAAGGAGCACATCTCCCCAACTTTGTTCATTAGTTATAGAAAAGCTTTAAAAACTCCTTCTGTGGTCTCATATCTGGTCATCAAATCCAAAATGCCATTCTTATTTTTTGGAATTGTCAGCATGAACTGGGCTTAGTACTACAAGGTTTTCTCTTTTCAAGGCAAGCAAATGATTTAAATAAGATCAAATTCATTGGACTTGTTTCTCAAATTTTCTCACCATTGGGACACAGCTGATGGGAACATTAGTGCTGCAATGCACAGGTCACCTTGGATCATTAACCACTCTAACTTTCTTTCTACAAAGGAGCTGTAGACAGTCTTTCACAACAGACCACACACTTCCCACAATTCCTGCAGGCACCACACCCACACTGCCTGCCCTCCTGTTGGCCGGTTCCTCAATCCCCATGCACTTCTCTCCTCCGTTATCCCGCAAGCTGCCAGTCAGTAAGACGAGTCAAGGAGTGGAAGATAAGGGCGAGGTGCTTTGACAGTGGACAGAACTAGGGGAGTGACTCTACTCATCACCCTCTAAATAACCCCCAGGAAGCGTCTCTGCTTGCTGAGAAGTGGCCGGGTTGACATTCTGCACCACTGCCTGCCTGGTTCTCTCACTCATGGTCACAATGCTCAGGGGCTACTGTTAGTACTCCTAAAGACGGATGGGGAAAAACACTATGCAATTATTTATTTCAAACCCAGCAGGACTATCAACCTTTACAAACTGGAAGAAATAATAAGGAAGTTCCAATTAAAGAGAGAGAAGTAAGGTAACAAGGTTTGAATATCGGCTGCATCCTAATATTCTCTGGGGCACCGTAATTCTCATAACAACCTTGAGTGGTAGAGTTACTACTAAGAAAGAGATTGTATAGTCATTAACTTGCTCAAGATCGCTCAACTATTAACTAGCACATGTGGGATCTAAACCCAAGTATGCTGTGAGTTTAAGGACCACTTCTGTTTATAATAACATCATCATGTTTTTCTAGGCTTCTGACCTCAAAAGCTGTTCAGAACCATTTCATTTCTTTGCTTTTCTTTCCATCTTGCTTTCTGTTCCCTATATTCAATCTCCAAGTTAAGCTTTTGCATGACCTTGTTCAGAGTTTATACTAAATAATACTTGTGCAGGAAATGAATGAATGCATACGTCAATGAACTACCTTCTCTGACCTCATCTGACCTTTCTTCATCATTTTCTGTTCTACTCCAATACTCATTCATTTAATTCTTCTTTGCTAGTGACTGAATACAAGAAGGATTCTGATAAGAATGTGTGAGACAATTGTGTTTTCAAAATACACTACTGGGTTTTGCAAAATTTCCCAAAGAATGGTAAAAGCAAAATCAATGACTGGGGTAAGTTAAGAAAATTAACATACAGAAGTATTTTAAAAAGATTTGACTACTTTTAGTCAGGAACAAATAGGACAATTTTTTTTCTCCCCTAGATCCTTATAGGATAATTAAAAGCACTGGGTTGGGATAATATGCAGATGGTACCCAGTGCAGACATCTCTTCCACCATTCTTCTAGTCCAGAGCCCCCCAACCCCGAACCTGCAGCCTGGGCTACTTGCACACCCTCTGGGTTCCACAGCACAGAGTTTCAAGTCTAACTCCCACACAGGAAGGGAAATACCTCATGGAGAGAAGCCATGTCTCATTAATTTTTATATCATTAAAAATCTGTACAATGTTGGACACATAGTAGGGATGCAATGAATTATCAAAAAGGGGGCACTTAGCTGCTTTCGTATAACTATTCTAAACCTCCAATTCATGTGCCAGCTACCATTTCACTATCTCATTTCCTCATTCCTCTTTACATTAAGATTTCTAGAAGGAGTTGTCTAAATTCACTGACTCTGACTCCTCCCCCACAGGTCTCCTGCATTCATTCCCAATTTAGCTTTTGCCCTTCCCTCTTTTCTAAATTGGCTTTCATTGAATGCCAATGACCTCCAAATTGCTAAACCCATGGTCAATTACTGTCCTCATCTGACTTTACCTACCATAGTTTGCAATGGGTTATTACACTCTCCTCCTTGATATACTACCTTTACTTGGCTTCCAGAATGCCACTCTTGGTTTTCCTCTTCACCCACAATTTCCTTTGCTGTCTCCTCTCCCGATCCTGAAGTTGGTCTGCATCAGGGCTTGGTCCCTTAGTCTCAGCAAGATCCTCTTCTCTAGTCCACCTGCATTTACGCCCTCTGTGAGCTCAATCATCTGGATCTTGGCGAGTCCCAAATTAGTATCTTCAGCCTAGACTTCTCTCCCTGACTCTGGTCTTAGATATCCAGTGGCCTTCTTGACATATCCTGGTCTTTTACCTCAAACCCACCCCATTCATAGCTTTTGATCTGAGTTGATATCTACTCTATCCTTTCAATTGCCTAGGCAAGAAGTTTTTCTTCTTTTTTTCATACTCATAAAGAAACTCTATTCACTTGGTATTCTAAATCTATCTAGACTTCTATCTCTCCTCACAGTTCCCTCACTATCACTCTACCCCATTCACGGCCACAAGGCCCCTCCTTGGCCCATCTGTCCTTTTCCAACTCAGCTGCCAAAGAGGTCCTCTTAAAAAGTTGGGCCCACCTACCTCCACACTGACCCCATTCCTTGAGAGAAACACTCCTAGCTTTCCGAAAGCTTTCCACTTCCCCCCGCTATCCCATGACAGGTCTGGCTAAACTTCAGATTCTGTTCATGGAGTGAGTCTGAAAGAAATGCTGTCATTACTAACGGATCTTTGTCCTGAGTTAGCCAGGGGGAGTCTGTTCTAAGCACAGTGCTGTGGTTAAGGGTCCGGGATGAAGAAAGACTTCACGGATCTGAGTCCCTTCTCCACCATGTTTGAGTTTTGTTTCCCTCATCTCTGAAACCATAATAAAAGGGT